AAACTGATGCGAGCGCGAAGCCCTTACGGCGTGGGGGGTTCGGGGCCCGCTTAAGGGCCTGAAAAAAATTGGATTTTAGATGTGTGGTGTGATCTGAACCAATTTCTTACCATTTTCCTCCATGCTTTAACTAATATTTTCTTAGCAAAAGATATTTATTTGAACATCGTTTTTGAGGTTGGAGTAATTGAATCAGCTATCGGTATTCTGAGCTATAGGTGTGGGGTTCGGGGCCCGCTTAAGGGCCCCGAAAAAAATTGGATTCTCGATGCTCTTTGGTGTGATCTGAGGCAATTTCTTACCACTTTAACCAATAATTATCTTAGCACAAAAGATAATAATTTAAACATAATTTTCGAGGTTTTCTAAGCTAAAGGCATAAGAAAATTTTTGAACATTGTTTTCGAGGTTGGAGTCATTGAATTTGGAGTCATTGAAAAGTTTGTGCGTGGCCGATTCGCGTGATATCGCTGACTGAAACTGTGTGACCCACGGACCACCTGTCTATAATACGTGTTCCGTGGTGTGAGCGAGCAGTGCAGTGGGTGTTAATACGCATTTTAGATTATCATTATGCGCTATGTCACGCCGGTTGTCAGCTTACTGGTCCGCGGTCACCGGTCAAAGGGTCGTTTCTCAGTGGTCATCATGTGGATCATTCGCGACTATTAGATTTAGATCAATGATAATTTTTTTAGAAACTCAAAATCTCAGTGGGGGGGCGACTGGGGGGGCGACAAGGTTTCATGGGGGGGCGGTCGCCCCCCCCCCACGCCCCCACGGTGGCTACGCCACTGCTTAGCTGGTAAACTCTCTGACTACAGAAGGATATGCTGTATCCAATCTCTTCCCATCAGACTTGCTCCATGATCTACGACCAATAAGGGCATCTTCTATGGCTTCTTGTGAGACGAAATCTGCACATCTACTGATGCTTCTTCGAGTATGACAACAGTGTCACCTGTGTATAAGCTTGACATCAGTGGGCTGCATGGCAGTACCTTGGCTAAAGGCACTGGAAACAACTGTCCAGGGGCTGCCTGTGTCGACTTCCATCTTAATCTCCTTGCGATTAACCAAAAGTTTCGTTATGAAGGGATTTGGCCGGCTCAACTTATGGAGTGAACCCTCCTTTAAATGGCTGAGGTCTTCCGCTTTTGGGCTTGATTCCTCATCATCTCCTAGATAATGTGTGCTTTGGAGGCGGCGATAAGATTCCTGCTTCTGAAAAGCTTGCACTTTATCACACTGGCTCTAGTATGTCCCACTTGAAGCCACTTCTCCTTCTGGAACGGGCAGGATGTAGGGGCTTGGCTGCACACACAGCGCCAACATCTTTTTCTTGGCTTGCTCACAGGACCGCTGGCTTCTCTGGTTGCCTGTGTTGGGGGCTTTTCTCGGTTTTTCTGCAGAGGGGGCGTCCCTTGCATTTTATGTACTACTGTGCCAGAGGGGCTATCGGGCTGGTTTCCGATGTTTCTTAGATTTTCTACATCCTTATTTCAACTTCCATAGCCCTAGCTATTTGGAGGGCCTTTTCGAAAGTTAGTTTTGACTCACTCAGACTCACTGAGGAGCTTTCTCTGGGTAGCCGTGTCACGGCATCCTACTACTACTCTATCTCTTAGCATATTATCTAACTCCTTGAAGTTACATCCCTCACTAAGTTGTCTTAAGTTAGCAACAAACTGGGGAATAGTTTCATTGACTTTCTGAATACAAGTGTAAAAACCTATATCTCTGAACAATCTCAGTAGGTTTTGGCGAGAAATGTGCCTTAAGCACGTCTTTGCATTCCTTGTACGTCTTCTCTGTGGGCTTTTTTGGCTGGACTAGAGCCCGTAGGGTATGGTACTTCTAACTACCTAAATTGGTTAAGAAAACCGACCTTTGCTTGTCATCATCAGTAATCTCATTGGCTTGTAGCCAAGCTTCCAAAAGCTCTACCCACTCATAAAAATTATAACCTGCTTCAAACTGCGGTACATTACCCAAATATTGCCTAGGTGTGTGTAGCCATCTCTGAATCACTGAAATTAGCTATACAGCTTATCAATGTGAGCAAAAGATACACCACTAACATCCACTTGTATTACACTACTTAAAAGTATGCATACCAAATACATTGAACCATAACAGTGCGCAACGCAAATGTACATGTGTGCTATCAACACAATATCACAGCAGTTTTGACACCTTAATATGGTTTCAAGATAAACACAAATGTCTGAACCGCAATGAAAAAACAGTAATTAGCAATAACTACCATATATGCAAGGCCTTTTTTAACACAAGAACTCTGGCATAACATGCATTAATACTCTGTACGTACACATGTAGGTCAAACTATATGATCATCACATGACATTAGAAACAGCAAAACAATTTTTTTTTTTTTTTAAACCTACTCTCACATGTTCAAGTTCAAGTCTCTTGAAGGTGGATGCACTGTCCAGTTCCTTTAAATCAGTATTGGCGGCGGCGTTGATCAGTGTTCAACAGTTCAAAGGCTGTGGCTTGCAGACAGGCAGTAAATATCCATCCTGGTTTAGACTGGCTCGGTATGGCCACGGCGAACATGCTGGCTTTCCTTGCGAATTGGGAATTTGTACTCGTGCGCGACGATACAAACGATGTTCCGTGTACGATAAAACAAAGTTAAAATTTCAATCGGGGCTTGCGGCGATCTTCCATATCAACAGTTATCAGCAGGGCTGGCAGAGATCGATGTGCATTTGCGATTTTCACGGCAAGAACGCTGGTTGTCGATCCCAGTCTGACGTTAGCAATGTTCCATGGGCACCGCCATCTTGGATCTGTATCGTACGGCCTCGATCCCTGGCAGTACGCGTCCATCTCGTTGGCGATTTTCGTCTGGTCATCGACTCCCGCAAATCCTGTCTCGTTCTCGGCAGGTAGGCCTGGTTTGTAGCTGCAAACGACGGCATCCTCTGGTCCTGGCCTGGACATAGACGGCACGCCTGGATGCAGCTACCGGCTGCACTGTACATCGGCTCCATGGCGGGCTTGTAGTATTGCACGCACTACAACGGGCACGTACACGCACAGTAATGTGTGGGCGTTGGTGCTGTACAACCCCCACACGACTGGGAGGGGGTGGGGGGGGGGGAGAGAGAGTCTACAGCGCTCATCTTACGAGTGAAGTGAAGCTTCGGGCAGTAATGTACAAGGAGGTGGAGCTGGATAGGATGCATGCGGAGTCGACAATGTGGAACGAGATCCACCATGCTTTACCATAAGCCCCGGTATTTTCAGTCATGCTGCTACTGGGGCTGATGTCTCCTGGAGGAACAGTTTGATGCACTGTTGGAGATTTCGTAGTCGTATGTCCGTTGGGAAAACGTGTTTGTTTTGAGATTGAGCATGGCCCCCAGGAACGTCGGTGTTTGTGTTGGGGTTAAGTGTGTTCAGGAACCCCAGACGTGTGATCAAGGACAATGTTTCTTGAAGGGCTCGGTAGGCTTCTGTCCTTGAATGGCCGACAATGAGCCAGTCGTCCAGGTACATAAAATTCTGATGTTGTATTGAAAACGTAGGAATCGTAATGCTGCGGGTGTATGGGTACATGTAGGTAAGTGTCTTTCAGATCGAGGGATGTAGCCCATGACGGAGTTGGAATCAAGTTGAGGATTGTTCAAAGAGAATCTATACGGAAACATTTGGGGCGGAAAAATCTGTTGAGTGGTTTCAGGTTCAAGATCGGTCGCCACGTTCCTGTGTTCCCTTTGGGTGTTAGAAAAAGGTAGACAGGAAACTGGACGGTCCTCTTCCCGGTGGAACTATGCGAACTGCGTTTTGGTAAGGAGGGATTTCATTCCGTTTCCAAGGCTATGCGTTTGGCCGGCTCGGCTGGAACCTTGGTTTGACGAATTATGGTGTCCATGGGGGGGGGGGGGGGGGTTCCCCCATTTATTGCGTCTAGTGCTTTTATTTCTCGCAACATTGTTTACATTTTTAGAAAAACATACGTATTAATTACTTAATTACATTATATTACATTAATTAAAATAAGATGTTACAGAAACTTTTTCCAGAAGTTTTTTGTTTTTCTTCTGTAGTTTAGCTCTCCAATAAAGTTCTCGAATGAAAGTGTCAAAAGTGATGATCCACTTATTGTCTTGATATGTCTTTAATCTTACTTTAAATATGGAATACATTGCTATTGTTATAATCAAATTTATTTCAAAATCGAAATCAAGGCTTGTTACTAAATTAAACATTTTTGGCAATTTAAAACAATGTTTTGTTATCGCTTGGTGATACTGAGCAAACTCATTCCAAAATTTTAATGTATGTACACATGTCACAAAAACTATGAATGTTATCATCAATCTCGTTACATAAGCAACACAACGGACTATTCACAATTTTCCATTTATACAATAAGTTTTTAGTTGGTACTATGCGGTGTACAAATTTGTAATTAAAGTTTCTTAACTTAGCTTCTTTTATGTTAATAATTTTTTGTTTCCACACAGAATTCCACTGTATTTCTTCATTTAGTATATCTTCCCAGCGCTTGTGACTAACTGGCGTTTTACCCTTTTCATCAATTAAAACCTTGTATATTTCTTTAGTTGTAATATTTTCTAAACTGCTTAAAGCATCATTAACGTAGACTTGTCTTTCAAAGGGAGTTTTTGTTTTTATTTTTGCTAGGGTTCTTAACCATTCTTTTGGTATGGCCTTCTGTAATGTGTACATTTCTGCTAACCAGTTATGTTTCTTAATTAGTTTGACTCAGTTGACAATTCACCATTTTCGGTCAGAAGGTCATTAACGTAAATGATGTTGGATTTAATCCAGTTGCTTAAATACAATGGCTTGTTTGGGAGGGGGGTGTTCATAAACTCTAGAATATAACCGAACTGGATCGTTTGAAGCACCCACCGATCGGAGACGGCCTGGGACCAGAACCCTGTAAAAGCTTGAAGGCGGCCGCCCACGGGTCAGTGTGGGGCCGCTGAAGCTCTAGAAAGTCATCGACCAACCCCCAGTGAACCGGGAGGCCGGTGGCTTTTCTGACCGGCCACTCTAGCGGTAGGGTTGGCCCGGCACTGGTTTGATGGGCGTGTCATAGTTCGTGATTGGTTGGAGGTACGACCACGAAAGGCCCTGGTTCAAAAAGATTTCGCAGGGCGATCAGCCGGTGGTTGGTAAGGCTTGGGCTTACAAGCTTTCGGCTGGTCCGGACCGGACTTCGATGTGACTTGCGGAGATTAATCTTGTCCATTGCATCTATGCGTTTCGTCCATTGCCTCTTGGAATTTGCCAGCGAAAAGGTCCGGTCCCATGAGAGGGAGAGATTCTAGTCGTTTCTGGGTTCCTTCCAATGGGAGGAAAAGGGCGTCTAGAATGTTGCCTCGGCGGTAGGACGTTGTCAAAGTCGAGATTCATATGAATTGCTCTGGGGATTGTCACAGCTGATTCTGATTAAACATAACTTTTCTAACTATTTTAAGTTTCCACTGCAGGACCATGATTGTCGTTGTAAATTGTACAGTTAATCTTTTGTAATCCTAACTTAATCCTCTACACTGGCCAGTAGACTTTTGTTGTTCAGCCAGGGCTTGGTGCTGGAATTTAGTTGGCGTACTTGAGTGCTTTCCAGTATGCGGTAAATGTGGGTGTTGGCTGATATAAGATGGAGCAAAGTGGGTGTGTGTGAGTATTGCTATACATGCTGTTGTTGGGTTAGCACTGTGTTTTGGAGTGCATGCTGGCGTAGCCATTTTTGGCAGCTTGTGCCGTCCCTCGGCCATCAGCATAGAAGTTGCAGTTCTGTGAGGTTCTTGGGTATGGCTCGGACAAGCATAGGTCAGCGTGACAATTGGACAATCGTAAGTTACATTTCCTTTTGTTGTTTCTCCATTATTGCTTGAATTATTGGTTATTGAGTATTGGTTGTTGTTGCTTGAACAAGCCTTGAAATATGTGAATATGTTTTCTTTGGAGAAAATACTGGCATCGAGTTGGTTAATTATTTTAATTATAGATAGTCCTTATATGGATGTACCTGAAGTTGATGTACTTGTGATGTACTACCTGGCCCTATTAAGTGGTGAATTCTGAGGGTTGGTCCCATGACCGCCGACTTACAACGCCATGTCCCTCTGACTGGATTGGTCCATCTCTGACCTAGACGATGAGAGCGGGATACCTACCGCAGATGTGACAAGCCCTATCAGCAAAACTTCAACAGCATATTGATTTAGAATTGTATAATTTCTTAATAATACTTTTTGCACTTTGATCACCTGATATATTTACGTACATTTTGAGTGTACCATTTCACATATAAATTAATAATTTGATGCAACTATTTGCCTGGATATTAAGAGCATTATTTTATGCATATACTCTTGTGTATTGCTGCACAGGTGCTGTTTTTGGATGTACATGTATAATTTGTGAATATTGTGTATGGATGTATGATGTAACCTGTGGTGTCCAGCTACATGTAGCAGTGTTCTTTGACTTAAAAGGAATGGAGATTGTTGAATTGGTTTAGTTTAATATTTGTGAGAAAACCCCAGAATTGTCATTCTATGTGATTTTGATTGAATCGTTGAATTGGATATTGACTTGTAGGTTTTGAATCGGAAAGTTTTAAGCAGCCAGTGATGTTTAGGTGAACACAGAACGGATTGTTAATAGTGTGGATTTATGGATTGAATTGTTAATAGTGTGGATTTATTATCCGGGTTGTTCATAGTGCAGATTTATTGATTGAATTGTTAATAGTGTGGATTTATTGCTAGGCACGTACATATAGATACTGGATGCTGATACTGACCGTAGATATTTGATTGTAGATATTGAATTGGAAGTTTGAATCGGTCAGTTGTATTTGCTGTGAACAACGGAAAGTAGATTGCTAGATATTTTAAACAGTAAATTTTCTTACCTGCTATAATTCCATTGCATAAACTGAATTGATATTTTGAGGTGGTTTTATATGTACCTATAAGCTGACTATTAATACGATTTCATAACGAAGATTTCCCCTTGACATTTCTGAACGTACGATGTTGATGTTGTGTAAATTTGTCAAATAAATTTGTAAGAGTAATTTGTAAATATAAAGGATATAGTTCATTTGTCTTATTGTGAGAGTCCCGGCAAATGTGACAGGGATAGACGAAGGGAGTCGTCTAAGCACGACGGGAGAGCATATCGACAGGAATTGTGGTTTTGTCCTAGCAGCCCCTGACAAGATATTCGAACAGTAGAAGCATGAAGGACGTAGCTCGCATTCCAAATCTGGAGGCATAGTCGGCTTTCTTGAGAATTGTCTCCAGTTTGTTCTGGATAGGATCGGCAAACAGATTGCGAGATGAACTAGATGCACTTCTGTCTGCGGCCAACTTATCTTTGAAAGAGTCCAGAACTTGTGACACAGTCAAGTAGCCTTCAAAATCTTTCGGGGATAGCGGAAATACGCATTGGCCCGATAATCAAAGGCTTTCCAGTCTTTGCGGTTGATGATGTTCTGGATGTGCTTTATGCAAAACTGGTCAAGCGGAAGAGCAGAAAGGCGTTAAATGTCCCGCTGGTCATCCAATGCTGTGCGCTGTTTGAAGGAATGTTTCGGAGCGAGATCTGGTTCCGGCATAGTCGACTCTGGTAGGCCAAAAAAGCAGATCATATCACGTTGGACAAGCCGAAAATGGGTTTCCAGTGGGGAGAGGTGTCGAGTATTGATGACATCTTCACCCTCGTCATCGGAACCATGGTCTGATCGAGAAGGATGCAGCGAACCCTTTGCCAAAGACCCAGCATGTACCTCAGTGTCCTTGCGCTGGTGATGATCCACAGGACCGGGTACCAGATCACCATCCGAGTCAGAAAAATGAGCGGATGGATGAATGGAAATGGCCGGGGGCGAATCAGGAGGACGACTCACAGTGTGTGGAAGATGTAACTGATCGCGGTGAATCTGGCCGGGTTCATGTGTAGTTGACGGGGCAACATTGGGGGCGAAATCGGGAGAGAGTTGTCTCGCGGCCGAATCGCGCTGATGTGACCGTTCAGCACCCATGCGTGTTGATGGAGCGATGTAGGGGCGACTTGACTCATTCCTGGTGCGTGTTCACCTTGTGGGGCGAGTTGACCCGCGTAGGGGGCGAACTGTCCCGCAAGTGGGGCGAGTTGTCCCGCCGAAAAACCCGCCGCTGATATGGCTGAAACGGAGGCCGAAAATGCCTGGAAGGCTTGGAAAAAGTCGGCCGTGGAGACTGATCCCACGTGCTTACGGCGTTTGGCCCAGTATTGGGATCGGTCTGAGGAAGACTCCGATTCTGACCAGTAAAGACGTCTTTTACGGTGAGACTTCCCGTTCTTGGCCTGGCGACCGCGTTGTTCTCCCGAAGATGGTTCAGAAATAGGCGGTGGCGCAGGTATTCCGGAACAGCGGAAAAACTCTGAAGTTAAAGATAAACTCGGAGGCCGCTGTAGTTCTCCCAACGGCGGGCCGAATCCTGGCGGGCCGGTGGTGGTTAGAGCCGACTCGACTCGTGAAGCGGAGCTAGCCGGGGGGCCATCACCTGTGGGGGACCCATGGGCTATCCGGTCGCCCGGTCATGCCGGGCGTGTCGGAAGCCTTGGACACGGAGCTCGATATGGCTTGTCCAGAGGCCTTGGAGGGCAATTTTGCGAGGGGGGTGCCCCGCTTGCCCTTGCAGCTTACTGCCGAGGTTCGGCTCTTATTTCCCCGTAGAACGCGGCCGGTGGAGCGGGCTGAATGTAGCCCGTTTCCCGGCCTTTGGGGTCACCATCACCCGTTTCCGAGTGACGGGGTGAAATCTACAGGCGGAGGGGGGTGCCTCCAGCAGATTTACGGTCGAGGTGAGGTCCAGGGGAGGGGGGGGGGGGCCTCCCGACCTTGTGCCTCTAGAGAGGCCGGCGGTCCCGTGGAAATTCCCACGGGTCCTGTCGGGCCCTTAGCCGTTCTCCTTTCCATTACAATCAACGTAAAAAATTGAATGAAAATATGTTCTTACGGAGATCGAAACTCAAACAAATGAAGATACACAGATTGAAGACAAACTCTACTGTATTAAATTCAAAGAAATAATCTCAAGCGGACGTAGGATGGTGAAGAAAACCCGAGATTTTTCCGCCGGTGAAGAAACAATCTTTCACCATCCGACGCCAAGAGAGAAGAGGAAGCTAAGATGGCGGCCGGGCCACGGGGCACAGTGGGTATCCTATTGTGTGAACTCTTAGCGGATGTATTGCGCCCTCTGGGGAAATATGCGTAGGTAGTGGCTCTACGGGTAAGATGAGCGCTGTAGACTCTTGTAATAATCTGCTGATCTCTCCACTCGCATCCTCTTCCTCGGCCGCTGATTCTCCATGTCCTCTTGAAAATCTTCCTCAGCAGCTGCCCACAGATTATCATCATCCGAGTCGCCGTCGTCCGCTTGAGAATCTTGCTCAGCCGGTACCTTCGAATCATCTTAAAAGTCGTCATTACCGTACCCATACTGATACGGCAAGTCTTCTTCATCATCTTAGTTGCAATGTAAAGTCAGCTCATACAGCCAATTAAGAGCAAAAGCCGATTGATCAGCGTTGAGTTCAACGGTGTCCAGGATGATACCGAGCTCTTTGTAAGTTTGACAGTTTTGTATTTCTCAGTATACATGTTTGATGACGTTCAGCTTACTCAGTGTTACGCGGTGCTGTAGCTCTATACGACTTTATACTATTCCTCAAGGGTGCATAAATGACCAAATGATCGGTAGTCTGACACTTACTTTTTTACGTATAACTATGACTCACTTGTAAAATTGTTCATTACTTCAGGACCACACAGAGTGGTCACTAAATCCCTTCCAGCCACCTGTTGTTCTAGGGATTAACTACTTCTGGTGGCATGTGGAGCGCACATGGGCCCTGCCACTTACAGTCCCTTTGTCCAACGATTATCTAACACAACAGCTGTTCACTGACCACCGTTACATTGTACAACTCATAGCAATACGTTCGTAAACTATGCTGTATTGAAATTATATACATGTATTTTGCCCATACATTAGGGCAATCTTTCCTTACATTAGGTCAAACTGTATTCGGTTTCTTACCCTATCCTATTCCAAATTCATTTCCGTCCATACACCAGGTCAAACTTGGCCCAAATATCTTACCCCCCATAGTTTAATATTCATATCATACTCCATACATATTCATGTGACCTTTGCATATTTTTAAAGAAAAGGTCAAACATGACGAAGAAGTCTACCTTCACTACCGCTGCTGACGCAACGGGCATGTCTCCGACAGCGGCGTAGCCAGGGTTCTCATCCTAGGGGGCCTATGGGATGGCTCAAGGTTACAATGGAGGGGCTCAAAGGTAGACCGGTTATTTTTACCGGACACCCGCCCTCTGTAAAATCAAATGGGGGGGGGGGGGGGGGGGACGGACTGGACACCAAAAAAGGGACTGTTGCTAAAAAAAATTACGTACAAAATCGCGGAAGAAAGGCACTTTGTGTTCTTCCAGCTAATCATGGTAACTGATATGCCTGCGCTTTTCTACGGACGCCAGGTTTCAGTGGAGGGGTAGCCATGCCGCTGGTCTCCGAGTGAGAATGCATGTTATGCAATGTTGTACTGATGTTGTCATCGCTCCTGTTTGTCGTGGCTCAGATTATTGTGGCTGACGACACTTCTCTCGCCTCTACAAAGCTTACCAGTTTTTAAATGACTAATAGTTATTGATACTTATAACTCCTCTGACAGTCTGACCTTTATTGTTCATACTAATGTAGTGAGACATCTTTTACGAGGCACCGTACAATTGGCACACAGCCCAGAAAAATGTATATAAACGCCTGTACTCAGTGCGTGAACGCGCAAATATCAGCCCTTTTTTGCCTGCACACCAAAGTGTGAGTATTATGTGTATAGATTTGTGCTTAAAAACCAACATTTTAGTTTAAAATGAGCGACATTTGTATTTTCTGTACATTCTAGTGTCATAATGCAAGTTCTCTGCTACCGCTGGGCTAGGTTTTAGTGTATTTCATGTTGACAAAAGCAGTGATTTTGGGGTGAATTAGTCATCGTAATCTCAAAGTTTTAATCACTTGTACATCGTGTAAGTCCCATGTTGATTTATTGCAATATGGCTGTTTCATGTCAGGTGCAATTTGGAAGGCCGAGTTCACAACACAGCCATACACTGGCCAGCCGTTCGGGGAACCTGGGAATCTTGTGAACAACTTCATCCCTTAAAAATTCATTAAAAGTCCATTTGTCCGTGAAAAGAATCTTTAAAAGATGTTTCACGGACATTTACATGGGGCTTATATAGGACTAATCCTGTAGGGGTATTTTCACAGATTTTTAATGACCCTGGCCACTGAGGATTATCATTGGCTATACATAGCGGTACGCTGGGTCTATCTCCATGGGTAAACAAACGACTTTCTTAAGGGTGTTTTCACGGACTCCTAATCTGGCTTTATATGTTAAAAAATCCGTGAAAATTTTGTTAACTGTAATTTCAAGGGAAAATGGCTCTTTAACGAATTTTTAAGGGATGAAGATGTTCATAGTGATTAGGAACCTCACTTTTATTCTTAGGGCACTTTCAACCTTAGGGCAACTTTAGAAATACAAACTTTGTGATTGTAAGTTATCATTGGCAAATGTATATCTTCTAGAAATTGAATCTTATATGCTTTTTGTAACACTTGCTTTTGTGAGTTAAAATTGAGATCGGGTGTTTATTATTGTAATCGATTCTTGTGAACAAGTTCATGAGACCAAGCATAACTTGACTCCTTGATTCTTTCTGTTTGTCTTGATTGTCCTTGGCGTCCTTAAATCTAATCATTTGAGCGGACCTCCTTAATGGCGTACCGCTACACTAATAATGCATCAACGTGATAGTATTATCATGCGCAGTAGCGCACCCTTTATTTATGCAACTTAGTTACCAACTTCTGGGATCGGAAGTTTTGGGTTGTGTTTCTTTGACTGGTACCCGGATACCTGTATTTTTTCCATCGGGTGCCCAGTTCCAGTACTACCCGCAGATGCACAGGCATATAAAAGTTTAACATTTTTAGTTAATTTTATTGTTTGTCTTTAAATTTGCATTCAAAAAAATCAGCGAACATCCCTCTGTCTAGTCTTAACCCATTTTATTTTAGTTTTATCATTTATCTTTCTCTGATGTTTAATATTGGCCCGTGCAAAAACAAGTGCGAGTGCACAATAAGCTCTTGCCGCCTTCCATGAAATGATTGGGCATACAAGCCGAGGCCGCCGTCCCATGCAAAAAAACACGCTGAGGTTTTGCACTAGTCCGTTTGCCAAAGAAGCCCCAAAATTGATCAAAAGAAGCCCCCCTAAGTTTCCCATAAAATAGCCTAATTTCCAAAGAGTGTACATGAGTGGTTTCAGTGCGTGGTGACAATGACAACTCTCCGAAGATTGGTAATATCAGATTCCATTCTAGAGATTATCTTGTGAGAATGAAACTGATTGACAACAGTTTCAATTGGTTTAACAGTGGATGTCAGTGCATATTGTTTTTTTGTTATGACAAACAGATGACCGGGATGAAATTCACTTACTTTGAGTGTAGATTTAATCCCTAACGATTTAATCCCTAACCAGTTTAAGTGAAAGGCGTAGCTTGTTGCAATTCAAACTCAACAATTCAAACTCAACATCACATTTTCTAATTGAGGTCGTCCTTGTGCGTCAAGACATTGCGCACGTACACATTTTCAACTAGTTACAGCGCCCTCTGTTTCAACTTCCATGTATTGTGTTTAATTGCTTATTGTTGGATTGCTTATAAGTTAAATGAGGCTTAAAGGTTTGCATGGAGACATGATCAATGAATGGGAGGTTTGCAGTAACACCATGTGAATGATATCTCTTTGTGAGTTGTGTGGTTCTGAGAAGCAGTTGGTTGAATTCCGAGTGACTTAAGAGTTAATTGTTGAGAACACTTCAACTAAAAGACAAAGTTTCTTTTCTTATTTTATATTTTGGACAGAGGTGTGTTATAAAACATATGGACTGGCATAATTCGGTCGCTAGTGCACATCTATGCCCCCTTCGGGCCTGTGAGTCCTCTTCTGGTCAGTCACTCACAGTCCCTCGGGGCACATAGACGTGCACTGGTGACTTCATTGCCAGGCTATATGTGTATACTATTGTTCAACGTCAACTATTTGTATGTGTATACATGTACACATCCTTTGGTGATGTTACACAGCATTGTGCCCAAGTGTGGCACAAGAGCAGATACCAGTCTTACAGTAACCGTTCAGTTACAACGAGTTACATCATTGCTTCATAAATAAATGGTAACACTCTATGGTAACACTCTATGTAAAATGATACAAAATAAAACTTTAAAACCAATTAAATGTCTCATAAGAGCACTCAAACCAGCATGCTCAGTTGAAGAAATGCGAGCAAAAAAATGCAAACTAATAAACAAAAACAACACAAAACAAAACAAAAACAAAAACAAACCCCAAAACATGAAGTCCAACTTACCTAAAATTGGTGGAGGAGGGGGAGGTAAAGGAGGTAGCTCATTGATCCGTGTTGGTGCGAAGCCAAGAAACATGTTAGCTGTCACCTGGTTGCTATTCACAAATGCTGTAGTTTCAGGGCATTTTTCATGACCGTTCACAAATGCATTCATGTTACTGTTGTGGATATTTTTGCAAGTCACTTCTTTGCTCCTTAAACACTTGCACTCGAACACTGCCGACAGATTTCCTGAGGAACAGCTTGTGATGCCATTTACTATCATATTTGTCCTCTGTTCAAGATTGTTTGTGGGATGTGTATCATATCCATTTTGAATTTCACCATTTGTTTCTGGTGGATCAACTATTAAAGAGTGTCCATTTGTCAATCCAGAGCTACTGTTGTTGTGAAGTACCCAATTGTTGCCAATAATAAGCGAGTGACGATCTGATTTAATTAATGGTGGCAGCAGCTCATCATAACTCTGGTCACCAGTATCCAGTGTGACCGTGCTGGACTGATCAAGGTGGGAGGAAGATTCTGTATCCACTGAAGTTGAAATACCACTGAAACTGTGAATAAAGAGATTATTCAGATTGAATCATGCATTTTGCAACATTTTAAATAAAAGTAGTGTTAACACAAAGGCCTAGCAACCAGGCCTGTCGCCTGGGGGGGGGGGGGGGGGGGGGCTGGGCCCCGCTGATGCACAACTGGCCCCCCTATTGGCAAAAACCATAAGCATATAAAAAACTATATCTAAGTGTGTTTTTCTTTGTACTGTGCCCCCCCCCCATGCCCGGAGCTTGCGATGGTGCTGCCCGCAACCGTGATTGTTCCCATGACAAGCATTATTGCACAATGAGTCGAACTGCTTAACATCAGCAACAACCAACCTGCTTGCAGATTTGAAAACCCAAATAAATATTTTGATGTTTCCTGAAGACATCCCACTATACCAAACTACACTACAGAATGATAAAACAGATTGAATGACTGCCCGATAAAACAAATATATAATATCACTATGAACATTAAATGACTTTATGCCCTTAAGAAAATACAGACGTTGGTTACACTTAGCGATGACTTTTACAGTATTGCACTTCCAATTCAGTTTATTATCAATGTGGACATCCAGGTATTTGTAGTCAGAAACAATGTCAACAGCAACATTCGTGATATGTAAAGACTCATGATCGCTCCTCTTTTTCCTAAAATCAAATACCATTTCCTTACATTTAGCAGCATTGAGGGTGAGATAGTTATCATTGCACCATGAAACAAAATTATTCACATTGTCCCTGTATCCACTGACATCATTGTTTGAAATCAATCCAACAAGGTAAGTATCATCTGCATACTTTACAGTAAAACAAGAAGATGGATCTGTACAAATAAAATCATTTGAATTAAGATTAAACACAATGTTGGTGACAGAGCATTTCCTTGCAGGGTACCAGTATTGCACATGTTAATTTCAGATAAAATATTATTTTATCATACTCGCTGCTGTTGTTAAGTCAGAAAATCCATAATCCATAACTCCCAAGAACTTGGTCTGTCCCGGCGGAATTTTCATTCCCCATATGTGACAGGGCCAGTCCTCTCCGAACGACTCATTCTAAGAAATAATCTCACAAGACGAAACTGTAACTCTGCTAATAACTCTTTAATCAAATCTTCTCTTAATCGATAAAAGGTAGCAAAAAAATGACGAATAATACGAGTGTATTATAAGCACGTCCTCCCCGACCTGCTGCTAAGAGAAAAGAGGACGCTCACAAGGCATACATGCCGCCGGCACTATGGGTAGGACACGAGGGGGCACTATTGTGCAAACTCTTGGTTGGTATAGGGAGTATGCATCCATTAGATTGCTCTACAGGTAAGTTGAGTAAAGTAGACTGGACATTTTGCGACGAAGGGGTGCTCTTTCTTCATAAAATTGGTTTCAAATAACTGAAAGACATCAGTAAACATGAGAGGGAAACTTGGCATGATCCAGTTCGCGCCAGGATTATTTTGACATTGACCAACCCAGGTACAGGATTGTTTTTCACGAACCTTGATGCCAGACTGGTTCAGGCCATCATCTGGGGGTAGCACACTCTGATATTTCCAGCCTCGCTCACTGCGAGCAGGTCGCAGACACATATTTCTGGCCTCGCTCATTGCGTGTTTATCCCTCATCCGTTCCAAATACCGCAAAACCTTTGCGTGCATACATGAACTGGTTAAGTTAATTTAATAGTCGGACCTAAACTCACTCTTAAGTTATATTTTCATGTGCTTCAAGTGCCAAGTCAATAGAAACTGGTTTCGTTTTCTCCTATTTTGTCGTGTTGCACCAGTATCAGCAAAAAGGAACAGGAGAGGGGTGATGGCCAAGCCCCCTCCGCGTTTTGTGCACCACTCTTAAGTTAATTAGTCTGATCCAAAAATCACTCTGAAGTTATATTTCCATTATCTACGAGTGCCAAGCTATCAAATGACTGGTTTCATTCCTGTTCTAAAAATTTCGATTAAATGTAAAATTGGGCCCATCAACATTAACGTTGCAAATTCATAATCATCAAAACCTCAGTGCTGAATACAAAGCTGCCATTTTTTTGTTGGCATGGATGCTACATCACGCACTGCATTGTTTTTTTTTTTCAGATGATGTCACCATGAAGATCAGCCGATAAGCGCTCCGGTCTTGTTGCTCTACTCATTAGCTGCGGTCGCGAATCCAGCTGTTTTACAACCGTACTAACAGACATGGAACCTTTGTAGTTGAGGGAGTTGTAACTCCTTCTGCTCCTTGCTGTATGGTGTAACTGTGTGGGTTAACTTGTGATGAACACTCAATATCATGCGTTTACTATTGGACTACCAACATGCATAACAGAAAAGTAAATACCTTGCATCAGATGAAGGCCTGATTTGAGAACACATTGTCTCAATCACTCTTGCTTTTTGCTGAAGCTGTATCAAGGCTTTCGTGGCATCACCTCTTTCATCTATATTGTTGATAACTAAAGATAGTCTTTCTAACTCCTGTCAAATAGATTAAACATATTTTCAAAAATAAACAGATATGCAAACACTTATGTCAAGTCAATCTTCAAATTTCAGATCACAACAATCTAAAAAAATATATAAACGTAGCCAAGAACTTAAAAAGTGGTTGCACTTTCAGCAATAATTGCATCAGGAAGGATCTAATCTCTTTTCAAGCTAGGATTGCTGAATGAAAAAAGAAATATGATTTTTGATCTAAAGGTACAAAGGATCATTTGCTTTTGTGTTTTTTCCTTGCAAGCAGTAAAATTGCTGAAAATCATTAGGACGGTGCACAACAACTAACCTGGGCCCAATGTCATAGTGCTGCTTAACAGTTTAGTAGAAAAGGTTTGCTTATAAACTGTAGCCGAAAATGATACTTTTGCTTAAGCACTATTTCATGGTGTGGACTTGCTAATGGTTGCGCGCGCATGGAGATTTATATTATAACATCACTGATTTAAACAATTTTTTATCCGGGGTGAAGAATGTTTTTGCTGTGCTTACTGCTTTAATACAGTCTCTATGATATAGATGGAGGCTATGTTAGCACAAAATCGGTTAAAGTAGCGCAACAAAATTAGGACCTGCTCATGGTTAAGCCCAACAAACACATATGAAAATTTGTTGGGGTCTCCTAAACTGGATTCCGTTGCTAACCCGTGTCAAATTGTGCCAGAAGGCATCTTATTTTGAAACAACATTCAATGGTGTTTTCTTTAATTTTACAGGCCACATAGTCGCTCCAGTTCCAGGAAAAACACAGACATTTCTTGTTAGGTGAGCGGTAATGTTGTGCATTGGGTCGGTTGACCAGGCCAAACCAACCCAGATACGTACCAAATCTGAGCCAAAACTGATCCGAGTTAACTCCCCTAACCGGACTTGACCCAACCTGACAAAAATCATGCAAAAACCAACCCAAATGGATCTGAAACAAAACTGACCCCCCAAAAATTGAATATCTGTCTTGGGCAACTGCGTCTTCTTTTTGTGCTTCGCATCGGAAGAAAATCATCGATCCTCAGTAAAGAATCATACCGTACAGTCAAGACTCCTATAATTATAGACTGTGCGAATAGACCGCAAATCGCATGCAAACACATTCGCGCTGTGGGTTGACAATCGTACCGGGCACAATAACCCTGCAATTACATTGGACTGCGTAAATTTTGATGAAGGCATCCAAGATGTGACCACGCTCATGGGTTGGCGATTCAATATCCTGGGAAAGAATGTGTGATTTCAGTATTAGAGTCATTGAATCACCTTTGTGTTGATTGCTTAGAGATTGTCACAGTGAATGTTTAGGTTACCACAAATCACAAGTGGTGCAAGTCTGGCGATATTATTATTATTATTATTATTATTATTATTTATTCGGCATTAACAGCACATACAAATAACAAACATTCACAAAATATAAAAAACAAAAACCAAGATAACAAAAACGAAAGCCAGGGGCATATGCCTGGAATTAAAAAAGTTTACCTAAAAACTGTGGCCAGAAGGCCTTCAATTCCAATACCTCTGGCTACACAAAGAAATATATAAATCTATAAAAATCTATAAAATTGTATTAACAATAAACAAATATATTAAAAATGGCAGAGGTGTAAATGCTAAAACATTAACGTCCCAGTTAAACAAAAAAAATAGATATGATTATCCCAAAATTAACATCAAAATACTACAATGAGAAAATAAGATAAAAAAAACAAAAATTTATAGTTCAAAGACCCAATTATTGTGCATGTCCACATTAAACATTAAAAAGTTAATAAGTTTCAATGCACGCAATTTAAAAACAAATATTAAAAAAATGAGCAAAAAAATTAAACAAAACATGAGAAAAATGCCAAACCCCCCAGTAAAAAAAAGTTTCGTTGCAAGTTAAAAGACGTAAAGTTACCCTGAAAAAAAAAACAGTTGAGAATTAGCAAAAGAACAACAAGCATGACAGGCTCTTTCATGATCATCAAACAACAGTGTGACCTCATCCAGAAATGCTGAAAATGTCAATTGACCAAAAAGTGATTGATAAATGATGAAAAACACAAGGCGGGTACTTTTGGAGGTCATGGTTACTGACCAAACTTCAAAACTCTGGTAATCAAAGTGTTGACTGAAATGTCCAATTCCTTCCCCCAAAAAATACGCCAGCTCAACCTCCTTCAGGCGTGGATCCAGAGGGGGTTGGGGGGGGGGGTCCAAAAACCCAGCTCTGTCACAATTTTTTTTTCCCCTAGAATTCCTGGTAAAAAAAATGCGTAGCCCCGGCCGCCCCCCCCCCCCACCCAAAATTTTCGCCTTTGCACAAAGTATGGACAGAGCCAGCTTGGTTAGAGGTTATATGTTCTCTTTTCTGTGGTTATATGTTCTCTATTCGGAGGCCAAATGACCGGCAAAAAAAAAAACTAAGCCGGACAACTTCCCCCACAGGACTCATGATAATCTCCCCAGAGAGGAGCGCCTGGCTCTCAACTCCTTGCGCTCTCGCACCGACATCATCATCAAACCAGCAGATAAAGGTTCAGCTGTGGTCATCATGGATCGTCAGCAGTACATTGATGAGGCCCACCGCCAGTTGGATAATCGCACTAACTATACCCGCCTTGACTCTGACCCCACAGGCACATTCTGTAGAGATATACAACAGGTACTTGACGATATGCGATCACGTGACCAGTTGTCCAAGAAAGCTCATAAATTTCTTTCTCCCTGTGATTGTAGGACTGCCAGATTTTACCTTCTACCCAAGATTCACAAGGCTGGCAACCCCGGTAGACCCATCATCTCCGGTAATGGCTCACCCACGGAACGCATCTCCCTGTTCATTGACAGTTTTCTCAAACCCCTTGTCCCACAGATTTCGTCATACGTTCACGACACCCCAGACTTCCTACGCAAGCTTGAAGGAATCAAGGACCAGATTCCCAGCACAGCCATCATTGGGACTTTCGACGTTTCATCTCTGTACACCAACATCCCACATGAGGAGGGTGTTCGTGCTTGCTCCTTGGCTCTGGCCAAGGCAGGACACACGACTCTCCCCCATCAGTGATGTTGGCACCCTCATGAGACTTATACTAACGAAGAACAATTTTTCCTTCCTTGGTGAACACTATCTACAGGTACACGGCACTGCAATGGGCACTCGCATGGCCCCCTCCATGGCTTGCCTCTTCATGGGTGACCTCGAAGAACGCATTCTTGCCTCGGCCCCATGTCGCCCTTGGATCTGGTGGAGATATATTGATGATGTTTTTTTTCATCTGGACCAGTGATGAGGACAGTCTCTTGACCTTCACTAACCACATCAATTCCTTCCACAGAACCATCAAATTCACATCGGAGTTCTCGGCTCACCAAACCCCACTTTCTGGATGTCACCGTCCGCAAGCAAGGCAACTCACTAACCACTGACCTGTATTCCAAACCCACAGACACCCACCAGTACCTCCACTCCTCCAGCTGTCACCCCAGGCACTGCAAAACTGGCATAGCGTTTAGCCAGGCACTCAGACTCAGAAGAATTTGTTCTAATGATTCCGATTTCTCCCGCCATACACAGATACTGAGGAACAACTTGGTGGCCAGGGGTCACAGCTCTCGCCAAGTTCATCGTGCCATTGCCAGAGCTAAAGCTATCCCCAGAAGTCTAGCTCACACGGGAAAGGCCCCTGATGCCATGGCCAAACCCATGATTCCCTTGGTTACCACGTTTCACCCCAATCTCCCTCCCCTTCGCAAAATCACTAACGACAATCGTCATATCCTCCATACTTCAGATCGCCTTGCCCGCGCCATCCTCAACGGCCCCACATTGGCTTACAGGCGTCCTCGAAATCTACGGGACTTGATTGTTCGAGCTGAAGTCCCATCCTTAGATGCATCCCCTCCCACCCAGCATGGTACTTTCAAGTGCAGTTCCAGATGTGTTGTCTGCCAGATTCATATCCAGGAGTCTGACTCCTTTTCTGGCCACTCTTCTGTCACTACCCACAGAACCATTGGTAACATCACTTGTAACACCTCTAATGTCATATATCTCATTTCTTGCAGGGTCTGTGGAGTGCAGTATGTAGGTGAGACTAAGAATACACTCAAGAAGCGTCTCTATGCCCACCGGTCAACGGTCAACACCAAGAAACTAGACACCCCTGTTGGTCATCACTTCAACCTGCCTAACCACTCCATATCTGATATGATTTTGCAGGGCATTGAATCTCTTGGCCATCGCAAGGACTCAGTTCGCCGCAGCAGAGAGAAAGTGTGGATGAATCGTCTTCGAACTATTCAACCACATGGTCTCAACATCCAACTTGGAAATGATTAATCCTTTTCTTCCTCCATTGTCTTCTGTTACAGATAATCCACCTGGTCTTCCTTGTTTGTTTTTACCCATCTTTCATCCCTTTCCACCTCCATACTGTTTCCCCCCCCCCCCCCCCCGCATCATCCCCTTCACTCTCACACTCTTTTGTCCGTTCCCACTCCCTGTGACCTTTGATCCTTCCCCTTTCTGGTCCCTCCCCTGTTTATACCAGACCCCTTGTGGTTTGCCATCTCCCTTTGTTTCTTGTTCTCTCATCAACCCTCCCCTGCATCTTCCACACCTTTCCCACCTAATCCTCCCTGTGTTTCATTTCTTTCAGCCCTGCATGTTTGTGTGCACCCCCATGTTAATGTATGTACCTCTGTCATTTCTGTTTTAGCCTCTGAAGAAGAACTTGCTAAATTCGCAACGTCAGGCCACATTAATTTTTAGATTTAAAAAAAAAAACTGTGTGCATTTCTTATTTTTTGCTGATGAAAGCCCCCCCCCCCCGAAAATTCCTGGATCCGCCCCGTCCTTGCTTGCATGCTATGGGTACGTGTTTGAAATCATAACCACAAGGAGGTAAATCAGCTATATGGTTGCTTCATCACATTTAGCTCACCATGTTTTCGCAAATATCCACGATGTCGAAAGTTGTTTTCCAAGACAAAGT